TTTTTTTTAATTGTAATCAGGAATATATTTAGTTTTCACAACTTTCAAAACTATTTTTTTGTGCTTTTCTACTTTATTGTAAGGTTATCAATGTCAAATAAAATATTAATTTTTATCATTTGATAAAAATTTCATGTCACACTTGACACAGCGAAGTATTTTTAAACACCATAGCTAAAGGACCTGAATGTTCATCTGCAGCTCACTATATGTTTATTATATGCAGTGGTGGGCCTAGGGGTTTTTTCATAGCCATTTTCCACGACAAGTTTTTGGAAAACATTTGCCAGGACTACCTTCATACATCTTCAGAACACATAGGCTTTGTTGCACCTTGAAGAATCAAGCAACAGGCCAGGCTTTGCCACCAACAAGCCAGCATAGCCAGTGGTTCCTGTCCAGCCTTCCTCCCTTCACGGTTGTGCAGAAAAGCAAAACTAAAGTATTTTGGAAGTGACCATAAGCTTTGATGCCTTTGACTTTTTTACTAAGGACCAGGGAATCTCTGCCTGTGAACTTCCTTCGTGTTGGCTGAGGTAGCATTTACTTGAAAAAGTGAAATATTCTATGTAAAGTGCTTTATAAACTCTGGACAGCTAAATATTCAGTTATTAACATTTATTTATGAATTATATATCAAACAGCAATTTAGATTGCTTGAATGTCCATGTATAATCTGCTTCCTTAATTTATAATGAAACATATACATTAAAAAGTAACTGAAATAGTTCAAAAAATAACTAAAATTATATTATCTCTACATGTGAGTTACTTGTCCTTTGCAAATGATACTGGAAAAGTGTTAATTTTTTTCTCTTTTTTTAAATGTCACATCCTCTTGTAGGCCTGAGTTTTAAATTATGTTTCAACCTGGAAGGGAACTATGCTTGTAACTTTTTTCAACTCTTCTACAATATCTGTATAAAAATAAGGAGCTACAATCTGGGTAGATGCAGATTTATTAATCACTTATTCCTCTGTCTTATAGTTCTTGTCACTGAAGAACTGGACTCTGCAACTGGTAAGTGAACAATTATATTCAGCTTTTGCAGATCTCTTTCTTCCTAAAAGTTTAGTTTAATAGAATCTTATTAGTATCTTATTTTACAAATTTTAGTTAAGTATCTATCTTCCTTTTCAGCTTCTCCAATTTTGCACTTTCTAAAAATGCCATTAGATTGTTTAAGACAGACACATACTCTATTATCTGGCTGCATAATCCATAGGTATGATTAAAAGACTTTTTAAAGTCACTTTTAAATCACATTTAAGACACTGAACAAAGCAACAAATCTGTTAAGTTCCAGTTATTTGGCTATTTGATCAATTAGTTGATTTTTTTTACCTGTTTGCCAGTAGTATGCCATCTGCCATCAGTATCATAAGAATGAAATAGGAATTTGGATCAGTGATGACAGACAGTAGGGTGGATAGATGCAGGAAAACAATGCAGATATGATTAAGTAATCCAGGGCCACATTCACCCAGAGAATGTGCACATGTGGTTGTTTATGAGACTACTTTAATACTGGCAACTATTATATTGTGATTTAATCTTAATATCAAGAAACATACATTCAGTTGAGTGACAAAGGTACAATTCAACAAATACTGAGTACCTATTACGTGCCTATCACTGTGCTAGGTTCTGTGAAGGAAATAAATCAAAAATATTTGATATAATGTAATTCTGTCCTCAATGCAGAAATTCTTATGTCCATTTCCTAGATGTTGTGCTAGGCAGTGGTCATTTTATCAGCTCTTGTTTGACTCATTCATACAAAATAAATTTAGATAAATGTGTTTGGGAGAATTCATTAGAGATTTGATATTGTATTTGTAAAAGATATTTTTTTTAATGTAGAAACAACAGTCATTATTTTCAGAAGAAGAAGAATATACCACCGGATCTGAGGTCACTGAAGATGAAGTTGGAGATGAAGAAGAAGTATCCAAGAAGCAAAGTATTAGCCTCTAAATTAAAATCAAATCTCATTGTTTATAAAGGGGTTGCATTCAGAAGACTTTAATGCAAGGGATGGGGAAATGGCTTTATATGTCTATATGGTAGGTTACAACACAGAAAAAAAAAGAAAATAAAGAAGACTCCATCAAGATTCCCTAATCCTGGCACCAACACAGAATACTCATAAATTTATAAAGAAAGTGCAGTGTACTGAGAAATAATCCTAATGTGTAACCTAATGTGTTTCTCAAAATGTGTAACTCACATCAACAGATGAAATGTGATATGAGATGTGTTCCTGAGATGATTTGGAGTGGCAGTCAAATGAACCATTAAGTAACATTCATCAAAGTATGATTTTTCAAAAATTAAAAGCATGATTCTTATGAAACTATAAAATGAACTTGTGTCAAAATTTTTCAACTCACTAGTTCCAAGAAACAGCACAGAAAATTGTCTCAAAGAGCCTTTGAAGACTCAAGTATTTATAGGCTTTTGAAAAAATGTTCAATAAAAGATTGCAAGTTAGTTACAAAGCTGATTAATGTTCCATGAGGCCATAAACCTAAAACTTTTGGGGTTATCTTTTCTACTAGACAAAAATCATTTGCAATTATATTAAACACAAAAATCTGCAAATTAACATGTAATTTCACAACATCTGGGCTTCAATCAGTAGTAGATAGCAAAGTCAGACATGGGGACATTCTCTTAGAAAATTAAATAATTCCTAGGTGGGCCTGTTAAACAATCCTCCAATATGACATTGAAAAGAAATGCTGTTCTCTCTTTGTCTTCTCTTCTTGTTTTACATGATTTTTCTTAACATACTGAATCCTCTAATCAAAAAACTAGCTCTTTGGGCCGGCCCGGTGGCGCACTCGGTAGAATGCGGTGCTCCCAAGCGCGGCGGCGCTCCCGCCGAGTGTTCGGATCCCATATATAGAGACCGGTCCGCGCACTGGTTGAGCGTGGTGCGGGCGCAACACCGAGAGTTGCAATCCCGTTGCCGGTCGCGGTACGGGTGCGACACCGAGGGTTGCGATCCCATTACCAGTCACGAAAAAAGACAAAAAGGAAAAA